ACCTGGGGGCAGAAGGTCACACCTGGGCACATCTGGGGGCAGAAGGTCACACCTGGGGACAGGGCCCACACCTGCTTTGGTGCCAGCACTCACCGGGGGCGGGGCCGTCGGCCTTGGCAGGGGCGGGGCCAGGCAGGGCGGGGCCGGGGGGCGGGGCCGAGGCTCCTTTCAGGTAGGCGGGGCTGTAGAGGGCGGGGCCAGGCCCGGGGAAGGGCTCCTCTGATTGGTAGAAGCCGCTGAAGTCAGCGCTGGGCTCCTCCCCCCCGGCCCAGGGGGCGTCACCGCCGGGGGCTGCCTGGGGGGAAAAGTTGTAAATTCAAATTGCAAATGTTAAAAATTTTAAACTTTTTGTACTTAAAAACACAGGCTTGGAACAAAATACCTTGTTTTTTAATGAAATTATATTGTTTTTTGCATTATTATACAGACACATTTATGTACATAAATAATTTATATGATTGCATCTTATTCCCCACATTGTTATATGTTATATAAACTATTACACATATTTAAATTACACATATTTTATACATATTTACAGCATTCTATTTAATGTAAAAATCGATTTTTACTTATACAAAAACACATTTATATCACATCTTGTTATAAATAAAACTATTTCACACTATTAATTATTTCAGACTGTAATTATGTTTATCATACTGTATTACTGCACTGTTTTTATTAATCCATACACTATATAAAAAATATAATTAATAAATACAATATATATAGAAAGTATAAATAAACACTTCTAAATTACGCAAATTAAACAAAATAAGTTATTGTATTTTAATAAAATTAAATTATACGAGGTGGAAAATATCTTGTCACTCACCTGAGACAGTGCCCTCACCTGCCCAGGTGTGCCCTCACCTGTGACAGTTCCCCCCCCCCACCCAGGTGTGCCCTCACCTGTGGCAGTGCCCTCACCTGCCCAGGTGTGCCCTCACCTGTGACAGTGCCCTCACCTGTGGCAGTGCCCTCACCTGCCCAGGTGTGCCCTCACCTGTGACAGTGCCCTCACCTGCCCAGGTGTGCCCTCACCTGTGACAGAGCCCACTGGGCCGCAGCGATGGCCGTGGAGGCGACGGAGGCGGCGCTGGCGCGGGGGGGCCCCTCCCCAGGCCCCGCCCCCTGCACATCCCTGGGGGTGGAGCTTCGTGTCAGGGGCGGGGCCTGAGGCCTGGGAGGGGCTGTGTGGGCGGGGCTAAAGGGCAGTGGGGGTGGGGCCTGTTTGATAATGAGGCGTGACGTTTTGGTGGGGTGTGGCATGTGTGGGGCGGGGCTCATGGGGTGGAGCTTAAGGAATTGGGTGGGGCTTAAGTGATCAGAAATCCACAGGTACTGGGCTGTGGGCGGGGCCTGTGCCAGGTGTGCGACTGTGCCAGGTCAAGGGTGGGGCCAAGGGCCGGGGTCTCTGCCAGGTGTATGAAAATGCCAGGAGGGGGGCAGGGCCCATTCCAGGCACAGTGCCACGCCCAGGTGTGCTGCCACGCCCAGGTGTGGTGCCATGCCCAGGTGTAATGCCACACCCAGGTGTGCTGCCACACCCTGGCACGATGCCACACCCAGGTGTGCTGCCACGCCCAGGCATGCTGCCACGCCCAGGTGTGGTGCCACACCCTGGCACGATGCCACGCCCAGGTGTGGCGCCATGCCCAGGTGTGGTGCCACGCCCAGGTGTGGCACCATGCCCAGGTGTGCTGCCATGCCCAGGTGTGCTGCCACGCCCAGGTGTGGCACCATGCCCAGGTGTGCTGCCACACCCAGGTGTGATGCCACACCCAGGTGTGCTGCCACACCCTGGCACGATGCCACGCCCAGGCATGCTGCCTCGCCCAGGTGTGATGCCATGCCCAGGTGTGCTGCCACACCCGGGCACAATGCCACGCCCAGGTGTGCTGCCACGCCCCCTCACCTCTTGGAGCCCTTGGCGAACTCCACGTTGATGCTCTTGCCGTCGATGTGCAGGGGCGGGTGCAGCGCCTGCAGCATCTGCAGCAGCTGTGCAGCCTCCTGCAGGGCAGGGCAGGGGCATGGGCAGGGGGCACCGGGGCAGGGGGCACCGGGTCCAGGTGGTGCCACCCCCCTTGGTCCCTCCCAGTCCCTCCCAGTCCCTCCCAGTGGCTCCCAGTGTCCCACTACGATGGTGACTGCACTCACCCACCTCTCCCAGCCTCTCCCAGTACCCCCAGTCCCTCCCAGTGCCCACCACTATGGTGACCCCAACCCCCCAATCCCTCTATGTTCCCTTCGATCTCTCCCAGTCCCTTCCAGTGCCCCCCAGTCCCTCCCAGTGCCCACCACAATGATGACTTAACCCCCCCACAATCCCTCTACGATCTCAAGGGAGCAAGCGCAGCCAGGATGGGCTCCAGGCTGCTCTGGGGGTGCAGGTTCCGCAGGATGATGGCTGGGGGGACAGCGGGGACACCTGGGCACACCTGGGGGCACAGCTGGGTGCACCTAGGCACACCTAGGGGCATCTGATCACACCTGAGCACATCTGGGCACACCTGGGGACACACCTGCGGGCACCTGGGCACACCTGGGAGCAGCTGGGAACACCTAGGGGCACCTGATCACACCTGAGCACACTTGGGAACACCTGGGGACACACCTGCGGGTACCTGGGCACACCTGGGAGCAGCTGGGAACACCTAGGGGCACCTG